TGTCCAATATAACGTAATTTATTTTAAAACTAACTGAAGGAAACAACGAGAGAGATACGGAGAACTCGCGCCTGCTTGTTGTTTAGGGAGGAATTTTAATGAGAACTGTACTTAAGCGCGCACAGACGACTCATTCGCCTGTCTTTCAAATATATATAAATTATTCCATATAAAGCACATTTGTCACTGAGCTGTATTTAATTAAATAACCGTGTTATTTTTAGCATTACATGCGCAAAACGTTTATCATTACATCATATTAATTATGTTACCTGCAAACGTGGCGTTGGTAGGCGATAACGGAGAATGAAGGAAACCGTGCACATTCCACGAGAGCGCGGGAGAAAATGGAGTAGGCCTGCGAACAAAGGAAGTCACGTGTACGAGATCTCGCGAGAAAGAGGCCAGTTTGGACGCTATTCACTCTACTATTCGCTACTCAAAAAACGTAATTCAAAATACGTCATTGGCCTCGCTAACGGGCGCCCCCAATATAGAAAAACGACGTGTTCTTTATATACTATATATTATATGTATATATGTTATATGTATTATAGCCGTATATCCATATTTTGTGCTTCGGGGTGAAAAAGTTTTGGTTGAAAAACGGCTATATTTGCCTGCATAAAGCTTTCCGTGCTAACGAGGTCGTAGGTGATACCATTTGGGAGAGGGGAGGATGGGAGCTAGGATAAAGGAGAAACAACAAGAGGTGGTGAGAAGATATATATATGTAGAGAGAGAGAGGGTGGGGAAAGAACGGCGAGAGAAAGGGAGAAAGAAAGTCAGCAAGAGATATATGGAAAAAAAGAGAGAGGGAAAAAGAGTGAGTGAGAGAGTGAATGAAAGCGGAAGACAGAAAAGAAAGAGAGAGAGAGAGAAAGAACGAAAGAAAAAAAGAAAGAGGTGGGGAGGAAAGGAAGAGGAGCGAAAGGAGGAAGAGAGAAATGCGCGCGGAGACGTGCACACGCATGCGCAATACACACGCGCAGACAAACGCACGTACGGCATAAACGGCACACAAACACAGGCACGGATGCACATATTCCTTCCAATATAGTTACTTCTCTCGTCTTCCCGCTCACCCTCTCCCTCTCNGGGTACAAATCCTGTACACACCCCTGCAGACAGACTGACAGGCACATACACACACAGACTCACGTTTTCTAGATGTTGTTTGAAGGCGTTTAGGCGACCGTGAAGCTCTCTCACTCCCGTCATCGCCGAGTGGGTCTTATCGTAGAGGCTCACGACGTTCGTGTTCTCCTGCGCACGCCCGACGACATCACGTTTATCAAACATACGCTCTGCATACGATGTCACTCCGAATCGCACGTTTATTTCTGCACTTTTTTGTTTCTAGTCGTATGTCTACCCACAATTTTTTGTTCAGAATTCCATGTTTATCACCAAAATTTCTACCAATCAATTTACTCGTGCATTTCTATACCTTCCCCCGATTTTATTCCAAATTCAATGCGTTTTTCTGTATTTCCCTGATTTTATCCCGAACTCCACATTTATTCTACACTATTGACAGTTTCCATTCTACCCTTCAACCTTTACATTATTCAAACTTTTTTCCGCTTCTCAATCAACTCAAGCAAAATCTCACGCAAAAAAAATGTGACATTTTAAACGATCGCTCGCGGCAACGGCATGCGGCTGTGAACGGTTGCCATGGCAACAGCCTCTCACTTACCTTGCCCGTCTGCAAGATAACAGGATGCGTCTTGCACTGTTCGTGTAGATAGCCGACAGAGCTGCCGATGTACTGTATATGATTATCCACGTTGCTCATCATAGACACCGCGTCCGGACACCTGTCACAAGCAACACAACAGCATTACGCCCGGCATCCACCCTCACCGCGCACACAGACTTTCACTGATCAATCCCCAATAACCGATTGATTCAATAATCGATATCAATATAATAAAATAAAGAAAGAAAGAATAATAAAGAATATATATATATATATATATCAAGA